AGATCCCTGTACACACGTCAGACTTTGATCTAGACTGGATTTTTTAAACACCTGAAATGAGTCTTGACTGCCAATTGGGTTGGTCCTTGTCACTGAAAGTGACTGGAAAACCAGGGGACCTACCTTAGTTATTATTGATGGGTCAGCAAGGGAGTCCTGATGGAGCTTGTTGGCATAAAGTGGTTGGAGAAAAATAAAGCTCTTTCAAAGAAGTGGTTATATGGAGTTCAAGGAGACTTATATGGTTGTCATCCCCAATAATATCGAGTAAAAAGTAGATCCCCAATATGTACCTGTGACTGGCAAGGTATTAATAGAAAAAAGGGATAAAGATTATGTAAGGCTTGTAAATGTAACATTAATGTCAAACCAAATATATCATTACAATAAAAGAATGGGTTATACCAACAAGTATTCATTGTTTTCTATGACATTTACCCAGCCATATTTTTGTATCTTTTATATAAAAGAAAGAATGACACAGTTCTCATATCATAAAATTTGAAAATCTCAGCTTATAGAACTGACACAGAAAATCTGGTAATTATTTTTATTACCAAATTTTTCTTTGCATTAGAAAGATAGTCACCGAAGGAGTTCTTTTAGAGAGCTACATCTCCCAGAGCATTTCTATTGTCTAATAAATGGGTCTGAGGAGGAAAGGCTAAGAATCATCAACTTTTAAGAGCTACAACAAATTTAAGATCATATGTAAAGAGCAATACTATTTTATGTCATAAGCCAAAATAAAAATGGGATCAAAAATGAATTCAGCAATTTACTCACAAACTCTCCATAATATGACAATTATGAAGTATCTCATTATCTTCTTATTATTTTTTGCTACAGACCTACTTAATGGTAAAGAGATTTGAGACAACCACATGAGGAAATTTTGAATACCTCCTCCTTGACATTGGGAGCGGGAGTTTGGCAACTAGAATCTAGAAACTAGAGTTTGTAATTCTGGATTTTATTCCCAGATTAGAAGCCAACTTTTAGTGACCCGTGTAATTTGCTTATTTCTCAGCACCTTATGCTTGATTCTCCACAGAGTGAAGTACCATTTATCTTTCAGGGGACTGGGAAAATGTATGATCTGGGCTTATGTTTTATAACCCTGTGGGGCAAGCAGAGATATACTTAGAGCACAGACTAACAGGTAAACTACCTTCGCCTTTAAATCCCAAATTCTGGAATTTATTTCTGCCAGTGCAAAGGCAGGTGCCAGTGAGCAAAAGCAAACAAACCCGAGTGGTGGTAGCAGTATCACCAGCCTTGCCAGGAGTGTTCCCTGTAAATACCACCATGGAACTCTTGCATGCCAAGCAAGGCTAAATACAGTTTCTCTCCTGACACCGCACAATCCATCACTGAGCTAATTGGGAAGGGAGTTTAAGGCCTTCTAACTAAACCCTGTTTTCAGTAGTGGAGGATACTAAGACTCTTGATCTCTCTCTCTTCCCCTTAGAAGGACTTACTCAGACCCAAAGGGAGATGAAACTTTTCATGAGGTTGGGAGAGAAGCTAGTGATGCATTAAAACCCACACTCTTTCCATTTCTCCACTCCTGCTGCCTCTGCTGCTGCTGCTGCTGCTGTTCCTGCCAACACAGACGCTCCTCGCCCCCATGGTGGGCCCCCACTGCCAGTTCTCCATCCACTGCCACCACAAGCAGAATTCATGCCTCCATTGCACCTGTTTTATGTGGCTCTCCCAGCAACATCCACCTGTCTATAAACAACTTTGGGGGAACCTTGGGGTAAGCTAGCGATGGCATCATACTATGGGCGATTTATTGGTAGCCCCTTGTGCAGAGATGGGATCTCAATAAACAAGGACTAAATGTGGGGGGGCATTGGCAATACTTCTTGCGAGTCTGTGGATTGAACTGTAATCCTGCAGTTGTGGGGAAGGACTCTGCGCCTCATTATTGGGAAAGGTGCTATAGTTCCTTTGTTTTGGAGAATTCCAGCCAGAGTGGTCAATGAACAAACACTGAAAATTTTCCTAGGGCAGGCACAGAAAGGGATGAGAACAGTGAAGATGTTTAGCTGGTGTAGGAATTAGAGAAATAGTAAGTGGATCCAGGAAGGCACTTGGAAAGAGATTTAAAACAAGAGTCATCTAAACATGAGTAGCAGAAACTCAGCAGCAAGAAGCTTGAAAACTCAAAATACCTAACGGTACTAGCCTGTGCCTCAGACCTGATTACTCACCTTCCCGCACTCTTGGCTCTGCCCAAGGGCCCAGTCTCATAGTAGACTTCAACAGTGTATTTGAGTGTGGTATTGAGTATTGACATATTGAATGCAGTACTCAATGACTATTTGCCAAATTGGATTGAATCGTCAATAATTTGTTTGACCCTGAAGGCCCTTTTTGCTACTGTAGAGAAGTCAGGCTGTTCTGAACAGAAAGAGATAAATTTACATTATAGGAGGAGGGATTTCACTAGAATAAAAGGAACATTCTTCTTTGATGGTGAAGAGTAGAGAACATTGGATAAGTGGTAGAACCTCCTTCTTTAGATATCTTTTTAACAGAAAGATTGAACACAATCTCCTACACAGGAAATGTAGGAATAGATGAAACTTAAAGACAGTACTTTATTTTGCAGATGATCTCTTTCAGAGGGGTCAGTCCAAAAGAGTCATAGTGGCCTGATGCCCTGGAAACTTGGTCTAGTGATTGGAATGTCAAAACACTGGCCCGGATTACTTTGTGGAAGATGTCCTTGATTGCTCGAAAAGATCAGATGGGACTTTCCTATGAACCTAATGAAGCCTTGTCTAGATCTTAGGGCCAAAGGCCTAGATTTTGGTGGGCCACTTCGAACACACACCCATATGCACATTCAAAAATAGAATGCAGAAACGTTATTTCTTGATTATTCTGGCTATCCTTTGCAGCATTGCAAGGAATAAAATGTTTGCAAAAATAGAAGAGTGTAGCAATACTAGGCTGTCAAAATGGAGGCTATGTCAGGGAGGGCCCGGGAGCAAAGGGCCCTGTGCAGTTTAAAACTTGGGGCCATAAGCTTGCCTGTTTTTCAGGAGCTTTGTAGTGAGATTAAAAATAGTGTCTGGATGATTAAATAAAGGACAGAGTTCATGGATTCATCGGATACTTTAAATCTTGTGTTTTAAAATGAAACCAGCTATGAAGGGATGACTTATAGGATATTCCACAAGGGAATTCCAATGGAACTGTTTTGGGAGATTAAATGATTAGGCTCATACCCCTGAAAGCCGTATTTTAAAAGATCAGAGGTTTAATCATTGCAATACGGGTGCCTTCAATAAAAGTATATTTAAATTAAGGTGTCTCATTTAGAAAGCTATTATCAAGGGTGTTTCAGTATTTTCATGAAAATTTTTACTTGAAGGGTGAAAGTTTAGAACATGAGTTCAAAGGATTTGGTGAAAAGCAACAAATTTCCCCCTGGATCACACATTCACTGAAAAAGAACTATACTTAAGAACACTGCTTCTAATGTTTATAATAAGGGATCTAGAGGATATAATATGAAAGACCTTAGTATGTAAAGATAATTTAATATCAAATAAAAAATAAAGTACCAATTCTGACATAAATAAAAACGAAGATTTAAAAGATACTACTCTTTCATTCACATGTCGCTTATTTTTTAGTTATGTGAGAAAATTAAACATGAGGACAATGGGAAAACGTACTTTAAACTATTCATTTAAAAAGATTCTTTCAGAGTTTCATGAAAAGATATTTGCTCACTATTATTGAGATATTTTGATAAATGTTATACTCTACTGTGGTCCCCAATCCCCAGGGCCGCGGACTGGTACTGGTCTGTGGCACGTTAGGGACCCGGACACAGAGCTCTGCAGCTGCCCCCCCACACCCTGCCCCCACTATCCGTGGAAAAACTATCTTCCATGAAACTGGCTCCTGGTGCCAAAAAGGTTGGGGACCACTGCTCTATAAGATAACCTTCTTGTAAATTGAGCTTCCTAGATTTAAAGCATAGAAACATAGTTTGTTTTTTCCTTTAAATATTGTTTTATGTTATCTGTTCATCTGTTCTTATTAATGAGGACTTTTCATATTTAATAAGGTCTTGGCACATTTGAAAACCATATGTATTTAACTCCTAAGACCACAAAATTTCATCTTCTCCATGAAGCCTCTTCAGTATGAGGGCTGCCTGCTGACCTCCTAGAGCATTTCTTGCCTAACACTTTTGGCATATGATATAACTCTCTCTTGTATTGTGGTTTACAGCTAGTAGGTGGTGGTGTTTGGAATCTAAGTCCCAGTATAGTGGACATCATAGGCTGCACTCGACCACTTCTTTTTTTTCTTATGTGAATTTCTCATCTCTGCAATATTATAAAACAGAATGCTCCCTGAGAGAAGGACCCTACTGTTTCTGCATCTCCCGTAGGACATAAGGCTATGCAGGGCATACAGAAAGCACTCAGGAGCTAGTAGGTGACCAGGTGAACTGAGTTAAGTTGTTTTATGAGCCAGAGGGGGTCAGCCCAGAGAACATCACTACCAAGCGATAGTTAGTGCATGTGACTTTGTGTTTGTGTGTGTATGTCTATATCTATATCTTTATATCTAATATATAGATATATTAATATATGATAAAATTAGCTCTTTGTGGAAGTAGAAAATTAAATATTCTGTCTAATTTCATTTGAACCATATCCCCATGATGTATAGATAAAAACATTGAATTATTCCCATTTAACAGATATGGACAATGGAAATCGGGCAAAGAGTGATTAATTTCTTTGCTTGCAGTAATGAAAATTAGCCACAGTCTGCAAACTGGTCCTCAGTATTCCTCACACTCCAGTATCTTATCCCCATGACCACATTGCTACTTTTCACATGTGAAAGATTTTCACATGTTTAAGCCCTAAGTGAAGAAAAATAACAAGTTAGATAAGAAAATGAATTTCAACCTATTAACCAGATCATCTGAGTATCCATTATTTTTTCTAAGTTCTTACCGTCACTGTGAAAGCATGTATAGTAGAGCTGTTGAATGTCGGGTCATCTGGTCTCTCCCGGTAGACAACGCGGTACTGGGAGATAATGCCATTGGGAGATTCTGGCTTTGTCCAGTTCAGCAGAACCGAATGAGCACTGGTGGCTTGAGCCCAAGGAGCTGGAAAATCTTGAGGTGGGGCTTCCAGAGTCCGTGCTGACGACCACAGGCTTTCTACTGAGCCTCTGGAGTTACGGGCTCTGACTCGATATTCGTAGAACGTGAAAGGCCTTAGAGTGTCTGAAATATCAGTAAATCCAAGGGCTCCTTCTGACCAGATGAACAACAAAGACTCCTCTTCAGTGCCAGCAGGACGTCTGAAAGGAAACCAAGCAGGCAACCAGTGACAGCTGCACACTTCAAAACAACGTTTAGATGGAGTAAGAAACTGCTTTTTAGAAGAATTTGTCAATGCAACTTTTCAACTCTTCCTTTCTGGTGTCATGATGAAGAAAGACCAGATGGAAGAGTACACCAGAGGGAGGTCTGACTCCATATCACTTTTTAAATGTAGTACACACACACACACACACACACACACACACACACACACGCACAGAGACACACTCACATTCCACTGATTATAAAGAAATGCATATACTTCCTATAAAACATGGAAAATACAGAAGAAATATAAAAATATATAAAATGTGAAACATCGAACACATTTTGTTGCATTACCTTCCAGACCTTTTCCCTTCAAAACAAAATGCACACACAATAAAAGAAACAAACATTATTTTAAAATTTAAAAAATGCAGAAGCATATATTAAGCACATCAACACATTTTTCTGTATTTTTGTGATTTTTATCTATATGTTTGTATGTGCGTATATGTGTGTGCAGTGCACATGCAGTTATATTGGAGTTTTATGTTTTGCACAACTGGGACATACAATATATGATTATTAGAGTCTGATATTATTGGGGATCCCTACCCTTCTATGGCAGATGAACTTCAGTATGGCTCTCAATTTGTTTGTCTCCCTGTATCTCTGCTTTTTGCTAGTATGCTCCCAAACTCACTCTGAGGTTGGCTTTATGACTGTCTTCAGACAATGGGACAATAGCCAATATGGTGACTACAGAGACTTAAAAAGTGTTTGCACATGAGGCTGACCCTCTTGCTGCTCTTGGGGCCATAAGATCACTGTGTGAAAAAGCCCAGGCTAGCATACCGGAAGATGAAGAAGTATGAAGAGAAGCCCATAGTTTTTTTTTTTTTTTTTTTTTTTTGAGACAGAGTCTCACTTTGTTGCCCTGGCTAGAGTGAGTGCCATGGCGTCAGCCTAGCTCACAGCAACCTCAGACTCCTGGGCTCAAGTAATCCTACTGCCTCAGCCTCCCAAGTAGCTGGGACTACAGGCATGCGCCACCATGCCCGGCTAATTGTTTCTATGTATTTTTAGTTGTCCGATTAATTTCTTTCTATTTTTAGTAGAGACGGGGTCTCGCTCTTGCTCAGGCTGGTCTCGAACTCCTGAGCTCAAACAATCCGCCCGCCTCGGCCTCCCAGAGTGCTAGGATTACAGGCGTGAGCCACCGCGCCCGGCCGAAGCCCATAGTTTTTATGGTCTTTTATCTATTTTGCATCTGTTTCTAGGATGTTGGAAAAATGTTTTAAATTTGTTTCCTACATGTCACTTACTTTCTCTTCTTTTCAATCTTCTTTTCTTTAACTAAACCATAACCTCTCAAAGTAAGGACCATTTTTTTAATACATCAAGACCATTTTTCTTATATATTTGTTGTTATATGATACATCAATAAGCCGTCATTCAGCACTTTTATATACCAGACATTGTATCAGGAGCAGAGGTACAAAGATGAACACACTCCTTACCTAAAGGAGCTTATAGCTGGGTAGAGGAGACAGAGCTATGTGTAAATTAATGAAAATAACATGATAGTTAATATAATAGAAATTTGCTTCAGAGATCATTAAAAAGCAAAAGTCAAATTCCTTTTAGATGTCTCCTCCAAAACTTAGTTAAATGCAGAGTGTGCTCAAAAAATTCTTTCAACTGCCTGAGAATGGGATTGTTTAGTCCCATCTTTAGAGTTTGTTGATATCAAACTAGGGTCCATACATACTCTTTTGGTACTAAATATATAAAGCATTAAACATCTAAGTAAGAGAAACGGAATTGTCAGTTGTTGGGGTGGCCCTAAATATCTGATATTTCATTGGGAATAGTTCTTTGCCCATCCGGATGTAAAATCATGGTGCGGATCTGCTAGAAAGGGAAGTTCCTGAGGAGTTGTGGTTGGTAGTAATATAACTCTGTATTCTCAGCATCTGAGCACAGTAAGCATTAAGTCATTTTTTTCAAGTGAATAGCTAAAAGGCATATAATTCTATGGCTTTTCTGCATCTTTGCCTCGTCTCTACCAGCTCTTATTATTAAATATTCCCTATTAGGGCAGTATTCTAGGTTGAGCAAGAATGTAACCAAGATATGGACTCTCCTCCTTAAGCTCACTCTCTGGTTGCTGAAGTTGAGAAGACAGTGATGAATACATCAATATTTTCCAGTCTGTTAGGAGTATTTAATTAACACACTCTTTAGATGCTGGAAAATTCACATGCTGCCATATCAGATTAACCAGCTCCATCAGAACGTAAAGGGTTATTAAGACAGAATAAATGACAGTACCTTTCACAAAAAGGCAGGATATGTAAAATCTTTGGCTTTGGGAATTTGATGATTCTCAAGTTGATAAATCACTATGACCTAAGTATGAGCAATGACAAGCTTCCTGCTGGAGGCTATAGAGGCTTCATAGGTACCTCTCAGTGACCTGCAATTACGGTTCGGCAACCCACCTCATTATTACTCGCTACCATGCGTGGACCAGATTCTGCACTCAGTGTCGGTTTGCAGGGTTTGGCCTTTGTACTTGCTGCAGATATCAGGTACCAGGTGTGTCATTGGGAGGGATCCATTCTAATGAGAACCACAGGGCTCATAGCCAAGGACTCCTCTCAGTGATTTCTAAAAAAGGTGTTTGCCAGGAACACAATGCAGCAAATAAACCTATTATGGTCTATAGGGAAGTAATATTTTCTATTTTGTCTGGTTTTAGCTTTTCTGTGACAATTCAATTAATTTTTATTAAACTCTTCTGTATTCCCAAATTGAGATGTAGTCACGGTCTTCACAAAATTGACATTCTTAAAAATTTGCCTAAACGGGAATTTAAAAAAATAAATATTATTTAAGAGATCAAGTATTATGTTAGATCCACGTTTATCCACTAAAACAATTAAAGGTTGCAAGCTGGTTAAGGATATATATCACTAGTGATTACTTGATAAATTAATATCATGGAGAGGTAAATGTCACATCTGTGGTGTTAAAAACATAACCTCTTTATGTTTGAATACACTGTGAGCAGAAGTGGTTGAGTAGAACACAATTATTCTGAATCTATTTAAAATTTAGGCTTTACTTGTTCATTTAACTGGAAGTGTGTCCTCCTGAATAGTCTGTGTTTAGAGAAATCACATTTTCAGTTCTCTCTGAATAGCCAAATCGTTCTTTGCTTAAGCTCAGTTGGGAAATACTTTGGTAATGCATTTTTCCAACTAGGGTTACTTTAATGTTGCCTAACACTAAGAGGAAAACAAAAATAAGTATGAAAACTGGGAACTATGTATTTTACAAGGCACTCATACTTACGTTATCCCAATGTAGGATACTCTTTTTAAGAGTTCCTTGCTCTCTCTCCCCTCCAGCAGTTGTCACTGCTTATCTTTAAAAGCAATTAAAACCAAATCCTAGAACCCAATGCATTTCCCATAATAATCTTAAGATTATGAAACCACCACTCTCTCTCCATGAAGAATATTAAGAATCCTCTGAATTTAAGTATATAGCCAGAAACATCTGTAGTCCCAGAGGAGATAGTTCAGTGACCTTGGGCAAACTTGCCTATGTCCTCTAGTTTTCATGTCATTTTGTAAACTGGCATTAATAACTTCATAGTATGTAACAAACTTCCCAGAATTCTTATACGAATTAAAGCACGTAAAATCATTAGGTAAAATGTAATACATGATACAAATGAAGTTATCATAGAGATGATGTCCAAAGCTGTATTTCAGAAGACACATCTGGCAGTTGGTAAAGTCTGCCTTGAACAGAGAGCTCATCCCAGGAGTCCACATGAAAATAAATGAAAATGTGGAATTAGGTTGCTGGTAGAGCAAATGGAAACACAAGTGATTTACAAAATGCTTTTTGAAGGTGAATCATCAGCTTTGTTGCATGAGTGAATGCTCTGGTGTTAAGGAAGAGACATCAAAGACCTTCCAAAAATTTTAAGACAATCTTTTTTTAAAAGTCTTTAGTGATTTACCATGCAGAATGGCCTGTGCTTACCACTCACCTGCTGATTCTCCAAAGCATCCACCTTCTGAGATTTATATTCCCATTTTATATTCCATTCATAGTCAAATGCTTGCCTATAGGTCCCTCATATTCCATGAAATTTCATGCCTCCATGGCTTTGGTATCTGTTAATTCTGTGTGGCAATGCCTCTCCCTATCTTCTTTCCCATTCTCCTCATTTCTATAGGCTAACTGCAATTCATCTTTTAAAATTCTACTCCCACATCACTTTTTCCAGAAAGTGTTTTCCTTGCTTCTCTCTCAAATACAGTTATCATATCCTTCTATGTGCTCTTTTTTTTAATTGATTCACTTGCCACACTATATATTAATATATGTTCCTTTTTTATGTCTATAATGCTATGCTACAAGCTCCCTGAAGGTCAGGACTCTATGTTTTTCATCTATATATTCTGAGCACCTAGTGAAGCATGGCACACTGTATTACACAATTAAGTATTTTTTTGAAGCAATGACTGCCTGGTTGACAAGTAGAGTCCAAGATTCTCTGAAACCTGATCAACAAGAAAAATGCGCTGTTATTAAATTATTATCTCTCAGCTCTAAACCTACCCGTGTATATTTGGCGTTTATGGTAGTGGTGCTGGGACCCTGAAATCCACATTTCTGCTTTACTAGCTGACTCTATGTTGGGATCTGCCAATACGGGGCACCAGAGGGTGATCAGAAAGCTGAAAGGAAAAAGGAACCGGCTCCTTCCTATTCCTTTGTTAATTAGCTGTTAATGTATCTCCCCAGCAAGGATTCTTCATCTTGGAAGTAGCAGTTCCTTCCCCCTTGGGAGTAGATGATTCCAGAATGTAATTTTTCTAACACTTGGAAAACTAACTTCATTTCATGCCTCCACCCCCAGACACCTCAGATGTCTGGGTCCCAGTCTCTCAGGCACCCTCCTCTAAAT